GGGTGCTTCTTGGGGGCCTCTTGGTGGCGTGTCTGGGGGGCATCGTGGGCAGTCTTGGGGCCCGCTGGGGCTGTGTTGGGGCGCTCGTGGACCCTCGCCGAACAGCCCGGCAGCACCCCGAAGCGCTTGGGAAACAGAGAGTCCAGCCGCTCGAGCAGCGGCAGCTCAGCTGTGAGCCTTGCGGAACTCCGCTTCGTGCCAAGGGCACGGCGGCGGATAGCAAACACGCAGGAATCGGGATCGCGCTGGCTTCGGAAGGAGCCCGCAGCTGCCCCGGTCCTTCCTCCTAAGTGTTTCCTGTGGGCGCCCCTCCCCGCCGACCGCTTTTCCCCGGGAGGCGTCCTTCGCCCCGGCTCCTCTGTCCATGGTCCTGGGGTTAAGTCGGGCCTGTTCCCCTACAGGGGGAATTTTCGACGAAAAATCATCATAAATACAATAGTCAAAAAATAATCAAACAACTAGTCTGTGACTTTTTTTTTTTTTTTTTTGTATTTTTGTTGTCTTTTGGTGCATTTTCAGGGTACCTTTTATTTTTCGTGGAAAATCCCCCTGTAGGGGGACTCGCCCGACTTAATCCTGGGACCCGACGTCGCCCCCCCCACCCCGGGGGTCCGAAGCCCAAGCACGCGGACGCCGCTTGCGAAGCCCTGCCGTCGGACCTCGGGGGCGGCGCGCGCGCGCGCGGGGGCGGGCTGTCCCCCGCCGCCGCGGGAGGACGGCGCCGCCGCGGGCGAGTGAGCCGCCGCCGCGCTTCCGCGCGCGGTGGCGGGGCGCCGCGCCGAGGGCGGGCGCCCCGGGCACGGCCGCCGCCGGCGCGGGCCCGGGGCCGCGCGGAGGCAGCGCCGCCAGCGTGGCCACCGTGGGCCCGGCTGGTTTGGCCGCCTCGGAGCGCTCGGAAAGGGAGGCGGCCTCGTGGCCCGCTGGGTGCAAGCAGTGGCGCAGCGTCCTGTTGTGCCCAAGGAGGCCCACCGAAGACCGGTCTGAGAGCCTTCTGAGCTCTGCACGACATGTTCTCAACATGTTTTGGCTGAGGCTGTCTTGCGTCTTGTTTCAACAAAGTGGGTTAATGTTCTAAGGACAGTGGTCTTGTTATTGGAGCATGTTTGGGCTCGACTCGAGGGATATGTCGTGGCATGCCTATATGAATGCTGGGACGGTCGGTCCTTGCTCAATCGGTTGGAGGCCATGCCGATTGCGACTGCGGGTGGTGCGCACGCGTTGCGCAAGCCCGGTGCAGGGGCGCACAGCTTTCAACGACCCTCGGGGGGCGGCACTCCGTGCATATGCAGCACGCATATGTGTAGATGGAGCGTTCCAAACAGGGCCTTGCATTCGAGGATCGAAGGAGTTGCGATCTCTTGCGCGGCGGAAGGACGGCGGAAGGTCGGCGGAAGTAAAACGAGGCCGCCTCCGCCGGCGGAAGCCGGCAGAAGGGCCGCGGAAGGCGGCGGAAGTAAAACATGCGTCCCCAAGAGATGCGAACGTTTTTGGGTCCAGGGTTTCCGAACTCGCCCAAATAGACATTGCGTTTTCTGAAAGGTTTTGCCCTCTGCCGCAAGCCCCCCCCTCGGATTGATTGCATGGCCACGCTTGGCTGCTAGGTTTGCTAGTTTTCTTGTCGGCTCGCTTGCTGGCATTTGGTTTATTGTCTGGACTGCTCGGAGCGTCTTCCAATATTTTAGACAAGAAGCTGCTCGCACATTTGACGCGCGAAAATGCGATCTTGTTAGCTCGGCGCTGGTGCGCGCGCGCTTGACCTAACGTGAGATCGCTGGCGCAAGCGCGACCATGTCGCACGGGGGTGAGCTTCATCAGCCTTAGCTGCATGAACAGACGAGGCCAAGCACTGACGGCCGCCGGGCAGGACTGCCTTGGAGTGCCGCGCTGGTTCATCACGCAGCATGGCGTGATTGGGGCAGCGTGAACACATGCGCGCACGACCCTGACCGACCGTCGGAACTTCGCCAATTTTGAGCAAGGACGAGCACGCAAGTTGGTAGATATTGCGCTCTGCGGCTGCTCGTTCTAATTCTTGAGGAGAGATACTACGAAGGACTACTCCATCCCATGCCTTGCGAGATCTTGCGAATTGCGACCGCTCGCTCCCATTGTTGTTATCTTTGGGAAAGTACAGCGAAACTTACGAACAAGATGTCACCAACAACTGGTGCCAGGCACCCATCAACACATCGCGCGATATCTACCATCGTTTGAACGCCCACCGTGCACACGGCACTGATCAGCAACATCGACGAACACCGCCACAGGTATTTGGTCAAATGGCTGGTATCCGGCGAAGGCATCTATATACCACCACCGTGCCTGGCCAGGGCCATCCTGGGCCACAGGATGGTGCTCAGACCCTCCTGGCCTCGGCCAGGAGGGCGCATGCACCATGCCAGGGCCAGGATGGCAATGGCTTGGCACGGTGATGGTGGACAGATGCCTTCTGCGTGTGCTACAGGTTGTTAGGAAAAACATCAGGTAGGGATGTGTCTGCCGCTGGAAGCCCCAGGCAATCTTCATTCGTTCAGGCGATCTTCACTCACCAGTATTCCTGTCAAATATCGGCAACCTCACCTGGGCTCCTTCCATCATATCGTTCGTGAATAAGTGTTGCCACGATGACACCTTCTCGTCGTCTGTCAACGGATCAACTAGATCGTCCTGTTTAGCAGCCATCGCTGCGACAGCGCCCACACGACAGGTCACCGACGACACCCGACCACGCCGGGTATCCTGAC